TTGATGGTTAATGTTATACTTCTTTTTGTTATGTAGTATAAGTTGCAAGTAATGTGTAGTTTTCAAATATGTTAAACTTATTTTAAGTTTAGGCCGGTTATCCCATCTCCAGACACTCTCATTGGCTAGTAATCATTTAAAGGGGAAATTCCTCCAAGCTTAGGGAATTTGACAAACCTTGTGATGGTGAATTTAGGGAGAAATTCCTTGTCAGATCATATCCCTTCAAATTTCAAAACTCTTCTTCATTTTTTGATCTCATTTTCAACTCATTGTCTGGTTCTATCCCTGAATTTATAGGACAGTTTCGAAACATTACTTTTATCGACCTCTCCGATAATCACTTATCATCTCACCTACCCATTTCCATGTTCAACTTGGTCAGTCTATCATATCTATCATTGAGCCACAACCAGCTCACTGGAACCATCCCGGATCAGATAGGGAATCTTAAGTCTCTCACTAGTCTTTCATTGAGTAGCAACAAGTTTATAGGCCACATTCCAGCATCTATTTCAAGATTGCAAAATCTCTGGTCCCTCAATTTATTCAGAAATGGGTTCTCTGACCCTTTACCAGATATCTCTAGCAGGGGCATCCCTTCACTTTTGTTAATAGAGTTGTCTTTCAATAACCTCAGTTTGGGGACAATTCCTATCTGGATCAGAGATAGACAACTTTCAAATGTAAACCTAGCTGGTTGTAAACTGAGAGGAAGCCTCCCAAAGTTTACAAGGCCGGATTCATTGAACTCCGTGGACTTGTCCAATAATTTCCTCACTGGGGGCATTTCAACATTTTTCACAAACATGACAAGTCTGCAGAGGCTGAAGCTTTCAAATAACATGCTGAAGTTTGATCTTTCAAAGATCAAAGTTCAGGATGGGATTTCCTCTATTGATCTTCATTCAAACTAGGTATGCGACTCTCTCTCGAGCATTTTAAATAACCAAACAAGCAGCTTCTTAGAGGTTATAGATATGTCAAATAATCGTATTTCTGGTACGATACCAGAATTCACCGAAGGGTTGAGTTTGAAAGTGTTGAATATATGAAGTAATAAGATTGCAGGCCAATCCCAAGTTCAATCTCAAATCTTGTTGAACTTGAAAGGTTGGATATTTCAAGGAACCTGATAACCGACACTATACCAATAAGTTTGGGACAATTGGTGAAGCTTCATTGGCTTGATATTTCCATCAGTAGTCTCACTGGAAAAATCCCAACTAGCTTGTTGGGCATTAAGATTATGATACATGCAAGCTTCAGGGCAAATAGACTATACAGAGAGATCCCACAAGGCCGACGTTACAACATCTTCCCTGCTTCAGCTTATGCTCGCAATCTCTGCTTATGTGGGAAACCAATACCACCTTGTAGGGGAAAGAAACATGAGACAAGTCAGTGAAATGCTGACTCAAATATGCCCAAAGTAGAAATATTCATGTTTTTACAGCACTAACAACATTTTTTTTTACCTTTTTCCACTAGTAATTTCAAGTACAATTTTACTAATAATTACTACGGAAACAGACATTGTTTCAGTATGAAGTTTTAACTCTATCTATGATAAATAAGTTATTTTTTTATTAGTTACCAGTTTTGCATAACCATTACATTAAGACAATTAATGCTATGAAAGAACACTTTTGTCTTCAGAAATGTTGACATAAGAAAATTTGAGGACCACCTCTAAAGATGAAATATTGTCATCATCACTACTGCTAATTCATGAAACTTTACTTTAAAGCAGAAAACTCGCTTCAGCCTTCTCATGTCAAAGAAGACAATATAACATGATTGCCAAAGAAAGGAAAAAGATTCCTGTCAAAACCCCAATACCTACCAGAATCCATTACCTTCAAGGGGATGAAAAATGCGTATCAACATCACAAAATGAGGGATGGATCCTTGGAAAAAACACTATACCACCGAGGCACTGCCTAACAATCATTATACTTCCTTTTCAACAGCATATGTTTCCTTCTCTGAACCTCCTTCATTCTAAACAAACAAGAAAAAGTTGATGATATCGGTTGTCAGCATATTTGATAAACGAGAGACCAATGGACCACCAGATGAATCAAATGCCAGCTCTTTAAAATAAAGCCTTCCTAGTCACTTCATCATTTTCTTTGTCAGCACTGTTAGCCTCTTAAGAAAATAGTTTCTGGTCAAACGCATCACTCATAATTGGTTTAAGTTAATTAAATTCTAGCTCCAATGAATACTAATTTTAAATAAAGACTGAATATCAAGGACTTACTTCTTTCGACAAACCCATTTTAACAACCTTCCTTTGCAACCTAAATTTCATAGATGAAATGCTTAATATCTAAAAATTGAAAATAAGAACCATCTGAATCACATCAGTGAGAAATGTGTACCCCTGTAATAGAGAGTTGTCTGCCAACTTAAACTCATGGAATTAAGCCAAAAAGGCTAACGGAAGGGTCCTTACATGAATAAAAAGAAAGTAGTAGGAAGATGTTTAGGGGCATTAGGATCTTCTTTTCGAATATGATAATGATGAATGATGGTGAAATATAAAATTATAGACAATATGATTTTTAGTGTTATATTTTCTTACTTATTTGAATTATATTTTTGTAATATAAATTAATGAAATAAATAATAATGATAAAGTATACAGAATTAAGTATAAATATAAAAGATAAATAAATAAATTATTGTATATAGATGATATAATAAATATTATGTCATATATAACAAAAATAATTTACATCTTTTTATTATTATGAATATCTATGAAGAATTTCCACAATGTAAACATTTAGTTAAATGTTGATGTAAAATTTTAATATATTTTTACATAAATTATGTAAAATTTAATATTAATTAAAATAAAAATAATACATGATATATTTAAATACTCAAGTAATATATTATCAACAAATAGAATTTTTATATAAATAATTTTTATTTAAATATTTAGAATTTCACTTGTTAAAAAAACAAATATAGAACAAAGACAATTTGGTAAAATATACATTCTAGTAATCTTTTATTCCTCTAACCAAACACTGTAATCTTATATTCATGCCAAACCAACTAAACACAGTAATGTAACATTCCCAGTAATCATATTCCCTGGTAATCTTTTATTCCCACTGTTAATCTTACATTCCGTGAACCAAACGCACCCTTAGACATGAAGTTAACATAGATATAATTTAGATACTTATTTTTGCATTAAACCTTTTTTAAAGATTAATAAATTTGTAATTTTAAAAATTCTTTTTTAAGATATTTATTTACATCGATCTATTGAATCTTATTTTAAGTATGATTATAATTGAACCGATCAAGTGGTCTCATTGGTAAAAGAGTGTTGTTCTCCTTAAAAATCATGAATTTGAGCAGTTGTATCTGCATGATGTGTTTTGTCAATAAATTAATAAAGTTCTAATATAAATTTGAGAACTTTTAAATGAATAACATATTGGTTTAAAAGTTTATAAATTTAAATAATTTATATATATATATATATAATATATTGATTACGCTAAAGTGATTACAAAATATTATATATTCGAAATACTCTCAACATTTGATAATGAATGCTCAATCACTCTTGTAGTCGCTGACGCTCAAACTCGTAACCTCTAGGAACAACAATAATTCCTTTAATTTATTTAACAAATGTAACTTACATTTTTACTTTTGAAATCTAAACTTATAAATCCTGGAAACTTCTCTAACTTGATAATTCTAATACATAATGAATCTTTGAAACATGATATCCGATCTATTGATCGACTAATTTAAATTGAATACTACAGAGGTAAGGATGACTCTTTCAATCTAATTTACTCTATTCATAAATACCAAAGTTTAAATTTTATTGACTAATTTAATAATATTAACGCTAACCATTATAAGGGCAACAGAATTGTTATTATTCTGTCCTTTTACGTATGACACTTTATTATTGGAATTTGCTCTTTTCGCTGAGTTTCCATGCTTGTAGCGTTTCCTCGCAGGTCATGTTATATTTATTGCGAAAATTTGGCTTTATTCGACGAACAGAACAATGAAGGTAAAATTATTTTTTTATTTTTTATAAATACATTTTTTTAATCGAGAGAGCATGGTAATTTTTTTTAATATTAATTAATATTTTAAAAAAATTAGCGGAGGCCCAAGGCTCCTCTTGAACCTCATGAAATTCCACCCATGTCGAAAAATGTTCAAATGGAAATTTAAAACTTCATCCAAATCTGTAGAATAATTAGCTTAATAAATCGATAAATTTAGTGGTAGATTTTGGTACTAAGGTTGGGAGGTTAATTAAAATTTTTAAAAAATTCAAGGAATTTGATGAATTTTATAAAAGAAATTGGAGTGTATTAAAATTTTTAAGAGGTTTAATGAGAATTTTGAAAACTGTTTATGAAAGATTAAGATATTTAAAAACTTTAACATTTAACGAAAAAATTAATTTTTTTTAGGATTTAAAAGAAATATTCTAAAATTTTGGACGGAGGTAGGCTAATTTGATCAAATATTATCAATCCATCTTTAAGTATTAAGAAGAAAAATTAAATTAAAATTCTTAATAGAGATGCCATAAACCATAAAAATTAAGGCATAATATTAAAATTAACTTTCAAACATTTGTCAAAATGATCATTTTGATTCTTATTATGTTTTCTGAAACATTTTTGCCTCAATCGTTTTATTTTAGGGCAAGAAAGCTCATTAACATTTGATAAAATAGTCATTTTGGTCATTATTCTTTTCTTTTTATCATTTTAACCCTCAATGTTTTATTTTAGGATAAAAAAAAGCTCTTATTTTATAGTGTTAATCGTATATTAACTAATCGAATATTAACTTTGGCTGGATTAACTTAAAAAACCCATACATTTAGCATACCAAAATACCAATGCCCTACGACTTTATTTCCCCTTTTAGGAACACCCTCACAGCCTGCCCTTGCACTGCTTCAACTCCTAAACTACCAACTCAACCATATATCAAGATGATGAAGTAGTTTCAATGGTTGCGAGCCACATTACATCCTGAACCGCGGCAGCTGCGTACAGCACGCAGCCGAAGAACGTGAAGGCTATCGAGACCGTGACATGATCGCAGAAGCTATCCAACGACTTGCAAAAATTGGGCAACACGGTGTGTCGAATTCCGGTTCGATTCAGATTGGTTACACCCGACGCGGCTGATCCCGCACTTATCATTGCATAAGCTAATATCTGCAAACCATAGCCAAACAATACATATACATACATACACACACTTACGAGACACGAGGAATGAAATGTGGAATCAGGGGTGGAGCACAAGCTGGACTAGAGGGGGGTCCTGGCCCCTCTCCCTCCAAAATTTAAAAGATTCTAATTTTGGCCCTTAAATTTAAAAGAAATTCAATTTGGCCCTTCTAAAATTTTTAGAAATGCAAATTAAATTTATTTTTTTAATGTTCTTAATTAAATCCTCTTGCATAATTTTTTAAAAATTCTCATTAAGCCTCTCAAATTTTCAAAAATTATAGTTAAATCCTATTTTAAAAAAATATAAATTAAACACTTCAAAAATTTTAAAAATATTAATTTAAATATCTAAATTTTTTAAAATTTTAAATTAACCTCTAAACTCTATCAACAAGTTTGGCCACGGTGTGGAATGTGTACCTGATCTCCGGCAAAAACAAGCCAAGCTTGGTTTCTTGAGGGAATCAGAGGGGATTTCTTCACAAGCAGCCTTGAAGTGGCAATGAGTAATTGGAGCAAAGAGTAAGCTGTTGCAGTGGTTGTAACTCCAACAACATATCTGTACCATGATTTTGTCGGTTACATGCCAAAATCAACACTCACGGGTCTCATTTCTGTTCAATTTTCAATTGGCTAAATGGAGAACAGACAAAATTGCTTATTTTAACCCTAGAAACCGCAATTTAAAGGGCATATTTTCACTAATAAAATGCCGATACAATAACTCTACCTTAATTAATCGAGTTTGATATTGAAAAGGGTAAACTTGCATTTAGTACCTAAACTATCAATTTTGATCCATTTTAGTATCTAAATTTTCAAAATTTTCAAAATCGTACCTAAAGTTTAGTTTTTGTTTTATTTTAGTACCCCACCATTAAATTTTGAAAAATATAAAAGTCTAGGTATCAAAACACGTTTAGTACCTAAATCATACTTAAGTTTTGAAAAAAATGAAAATTTAGGTACTAAAACGGATCAAAAATGATAGTTTAGGTACTAAACGCGTTAAGTTTTTACGACATGGTATTAAAATGAAACAAAAAGTAAACTTTAGGTATGGTTTTAAAAAAATTAAAAGTTTAGGTACTAAAATGGACTAATATTGATAGCTTAGGTACTAAATGCATAATTTACCATATTTTAAAACTATGCATATTTTTTTGGGGTAAAGTACACAAATGGTCTCTCGACTATAGAGTGTTGATTTGTTGAGTCTCCGACTATTGAAAGTTACAAAATGGTCTTCCGACTATATGATATTGCTTTGTTGAGTCCATTGACTATTAAAAGTTACAAAATGATCAATTGACTATTCATATGTTCTAAACTTATCATTTAATATTAAAAAATTAACGACATCTGAGTTGGACGTTAACCTGTTGACTGAATATAATAAAATATGATCTCATAATCTCAAATAACTATACAACTCAAACAATTATGAGATCATATTTTATCATATCTCAATCAACAGGTTAACGTTCAGTACAAACGATTGTCAATTTTTTAACGGAAAATTATGAGTTTGGGACATATGAACTGTCGAGTGATCATTTTATAACTTTTAATAGTCGAATGACTCAACAGAGTAACCCTTATAGTCGGGACTATTTTGTAACTTTCAATAGTTAACATCTTATAATCGATAAATCATTTGTATACTTTATACAATTTTTTTATAATTAACGTTAATATCGAAATTCAAACACAAGAAAACAAGAATATAGCAAATTACAAACATATTCTGCCTTTGGTCGGTGAAACAAGACAACATAGGTAATAGAAAGATCAAAAGTTCACACACTTAACAGCTCCCCTTTAGGTGTGACCTCCGTTTTCCCTTTCATTTTCCAACCCTTTCTCATCAAACAAACAAACCCTATAAAAAAAAGTGAAAAAAGGACAAAGTACGCATTTAGTATATTAACTATAAGTTTTGATCTATTTTAATACATAAACTTTCAATTTTTTCAAAATCATACCTAAAGTTTAATTTTTATTTCATTTTAGTACCCTACCGTTTAGTTTTGAAAAAAATAAAAGTATAGGTAACAAAACACATTTAGTACCTAAATCATACTTAAGTTTTGAAAAAAATTAAAAATTTAAGTACTAAAATGGATCAAAACTAATAGTCTAAGTACTAAACACATTTTATTTTTAATGACGAGTACTAAAATGAAATAAAAAGTAAACTTTAGTTATGATTTTTAAAAAACTGAAAGTTTAGATACTAAAACATACCAAAACTAATAGTTTGGTTCTAAATATGTCATTTATCCCAAAAATTATTTAGAACTAAGTTAAATTAGCAAAGTAAGACTATACTTACTCGAAGGAGTAAGAGAAAGACCATTCAGAGTGGAGCTGGAGCTGGAACCCATAGAAGGAAACAACGCTAACCTGACGAGCGGTGACCATGAACGACATGGCTGTCACCGAAGTAGCCATGCACAGCAGCCTGAGTATCAGCACCACCACATTCGTCAAAGTTCCAGCTCCTACAGTCTTGGACCCTAACCCCAATTCCTCTCGGGATTCACCTTGCCGCCCACACTGCCTCGGAGTGGATGGTGGTGGTGGCAGCGTTTTGTGGCCGCTCATTGTTATCTCCCGAAGCTATGTGACGTACTTAGATATGTCTTATATATTTTGTTGTTCAAGATTCCTGGATGCAAGGTGGTGTGAGGGGGGATATAAAGGAAAAGCAGGAGTATAAAATAACAAGGGTAAACTTCGTATTTAGTATCTAAACTAACAATTTTGATCCGTTTTAGTACATGTAATCACCATTTTTCAACCTATAACTATATTATTATTATTATGATTATTATTTTTAATATTATTATAAATAATATTATTATTACAACCCAAACCCATTACCCAATACCCAAACATTCCAACCCAAATCAGGCCCAAACAAAACCCGGATTCGGGCCCAAGTAGATCCAAACCCGAGCCTGCTACAGAATCTTAACCTAAATCTAAACTAACCCTAAACCCACTTCAAATGCTGCCACCGCAAGAGTAGAGATCCCAACTACCGACGTTGCCGCCCGTCGTCCAAGAGGCATGCCACCTTCACTGTGTCAAACATCATCTCAGAGACTAAAAAAAGAGGAAAATCAATGCCAAATACAACAAACCCCGAAAATCCGGGGCATTAAAATATAAACACATCACACACAAAGTTCAACAGTAGATCTAGGATTTTTTTTATTCTAGGCCTATGTATTTTTCGGGTATAAATCCCAAACCAAATGTGAAAGAGGGATCTCTCTTCCCCCTGTTTTCAGAAGGAATACAAAGACTTTTTTTTATTTGTTTTTTGGGAATAAAAGCAAAGTAAAAAATATATATAAACAACATTTATTTTATAGTGAGTATAGAGAAAGAGGGAAGAGAGTGAGTGTTTACCTGGTGAGGGGGAGATGAACCCAAGCCGTGGTGGTCAGAGTCAGAAGAAACTGAAGAGTCGAGTTGTTTTAGGGGTATTTTGAAGAGAGATTTTTGACGGTTTTAGCCCTAAAATAGGTCATATGGTGATAAATCTAGGATTAGGGAGTGTTTTGGGTCGATTTGGTGATTCGGGCCACAGTGTGCGGCGGTCGGACGACGGCCAGAGGTGGGGAAGGCAACCTATAATGGGCCGGCCGAGGGAGAGTTGAGAGAACTCTCTCATTCTTTTTTCTTCTGTTTTTTTGGCTCAAAATGAAAAAAAAAACCAAATCTTGGTATTTATAGGAAAACTTAATGGTTTAATTGCGCTTTAAACGCCTAAAAATTTGTCATGTTTTTACATTTTGGTCCTTATAGGGACAAAAATTGCTATTTTACCTTTATGTTATATATGCTTTAAATTTTTGGTTTATTCACTGTTTAGTCCCTCTTATTTTAGTAGGTTTTTGCATTTTAGTCATGTAGGGATTGTTTTGTGATTATCCTTTTCATTCATGTTTTGTTTAATTTTTAGGGTTAATTTCCTTTAGGTCCTTGTAAGTTAGGCGTGTTTTTACATTTTAGTCATATGTAGTGACTGTTTAATTTTTTTAAAAATGTATGTGGATTGATTATGTAAATTTACCTTTTTATTTAACAAACCTTTCTCAGGCTTAATAAAAAAGAAAAATTTCTCATAGGTCCTTGTAGATTACACGTGTTTTGTATTTTAGTCAATAGTCTGTTTGTTTTATTTTATTTCGAATTAGGCTTTAAATATCAATTTAATTTAAGTTAGTCCCTTTGTATGTTTAATTTTAGTTTAGTAATTTTAAATTCATGCAATTAAGTCATTGAATGTATGTTTATTTTATTTTTATTTTATGATTTTGTTATTTTAATTATTATAATTTGATTTATTAATTATTTTGTTTCATGGTTTATTTTCTTAGATTTAGTTTTAAAATTAGATTAACATTCGAATCAAGCTTAGAAATTAGGATTTCACACTAGTTTTAATTAGGGAGCAATTCGAATCGAGTTTTCGTAATAGATGCCTGATTACTCAAATCGATTGCTCGAATTTTAAAATTTATTAATAATTAATACTTTCTAAAAATACTTTAGGTTTAATAATTTAGATAATAATTAGTTTAGATTTAGTCCTCAACTTTAGAAATTATCAATTTAGGTCCTAAGCTTTTAGATCTTTTAGAAATCAGTATTTTTAGACCTTGACCTTTTAATCCCCGAATTTCGATTAGAATTTTATTATTGACATAATTAATTAAGATTATGTTAGGATTTTCGGAAGCTCGAATCGACAATCGGAACGATTTGCAAAAAGGGGTCGGAACGATTTTGTGTTTAGGGAGTAAGGAGATTGAAAGATAGAGAATTGCACAACGATTTATAGTGGTTCGACTTTCTCAACCAAAGTCTACGTCCACTACCTTAGCTCCTCACCAAGGATTTTCCAACAAATTCGCTAATTTGTTCTTTATTTTAAGGAAAAAGAGTAACCTTACAACTCCCTAGTTTTTCCGGGCTAAACTAGAACCTTTTCCCTAGCTTTTACACGGGATAAGCTAGAACCTTTCCCCTTTACAAAAGGATAAAAGATGTAAACAAGAAAACCTCTCTAAGGTAGATGTTTACAAGATTGAGCTCACAAGAACAAAATATTTACAAGAGAAAGATGAAATAAGAATGAAAAACTCTTCTCTTGTGTTTGATTGCTTGGATAGTTGTTTTCTTACTTCTTCAAGTGTCCTTAGCTTGTATTTATAGCTTGGAATGTGTTTGAAGTCATATCTAGCCGTTGGGGATGTTTTGGAGCCGTTTGGGAATGATTTTTCTGCAAAAATAGGTTGCCCAGAATGGGAGGAATCGGTACCCCTTCATAGGGAATAGATACCCCTTTATAATATTCAAATATTATGACCGTTGGGCTGATGAACAGTGAGGGAATCGGTACCCTCAAGGGGGGAATCGGTTCCCTTCGAGTAATCTTTATTTCTTGGAGCCAAACCATGCAGGGGGAATCTGTACCCCCTGGGGGGGAATCTGTTCTCGGGGAATCGATACCCCCTGGGGGAGAATCTGTACCCCCTGGACAATCTGATTTTTCTTGAAACCCTTTAAAAAGAGAATATTTTTGGCTCGATTAAGGCTCGAAATACTTTGTAAAATTGTTTTAAAATAGTTTAAGTATAAAACACAATTTTACACTTTAGTAAGGATTAAAATAAACTTTGAAAGACTTGGAGTAATATTTTGATATTCAAATAGTTACATCGAATATACTTAGAAAATCTTTTGTAAAATCTTAAAATTCATTTAACTTAATTTGTTATATCGAAACATCAAAATGTTTTCAACAATCTCTCCCTTTTTGATATAACAAAACATTTGAGTAATTTTAAGATTTTGAAATAAAGTTTGAAATTACTCCCCCTTACTTTAACACTTCTCCCCTTTAAAACACCTTAACACTTCTCCCCTTTTTTGTTAAATCAAAAAGACTCTAATCTTTTAAAGTTCAAAATAACTTTGGAGAGTATGTAGTAAATTTAAATTTTAAAAATCATTTGAAAAAATCAAAGCTCCCCCTCAATAAATGCATTCCAAATAAAATTTAGCTTTAAGAACAATACACTTAAACAAAATTGAATTTCAACAAAAAATAACAAACATGTTAGTAGCACGTGAAATTCAATATATCCAAGACTAAAATACTTTATGCAATACCAATTGCTGAAATTTGATATCAATACCAATTGTTAAAATTAAGTGCATATGCATAAAGTTTTCCAAAAATGTTATGCATTTGAAAATTTTGATATCAATTGTTAGAGAGATATCATTTTCATTTAAACCACATGCATAAACATTCAAATTTAGGTCAAAAATTTTAAAATTTGTAAAATCAAAGTATTTGAAAAGTTGATATCAATTGTTAGAGAGATATCATTTGCATTAAAACAAATTTTGATCAAAATTTTATTATGATGAACTAAAAATTCTGAAAAATCATTACAACTTTAAAATGTTCATCATAATCATCTTTTCAACATACATGAGATTAAAACAATGATGCATAATCATTTAAAACCAAAACTCATACATGCTTAAAATCAAATGAGCAACCAAATAATCCAAAATTAAAAGTATTAAGCTTAGAGGTTACCCATTCCTTTTTCATGTGTGGCTAGAGCATCTTGAATATCATCATTTTCATCACAATTGCTTCCACATACCTACAAGAGACATTTAAGTAGATTTTGGTATCCAAATTGCTTTGGATCCTTGTATGTTAGTTACAATGCCCCTTGTTCGTTTTGGAACCCATACTTGCCTAATTTTAAAACGTTTTCTACAAGTATGTTCCATATGACCATGATAATGGCAATGTGAGCATTTTGCCATATTTAAACATAATAGGTTGATTTTAGAAATTAATTCTTTTTCTTTTATTAAGCTTTCAAACTTAACACCTAGCTCAAAATTTTCTTTTTCTAAATCATTTATTTTGATTTTTGAAAGCTCTAAATTATTTTTCAAAATTTCATTTTGATTTTCAAAATCAACTTTTGATTTCAAAATTAAATTATCTTTATTTTTGAGTTTTGAAATTAATTTAGTATATTTGGAATTCATGGTCTCAAATCCCAAATACAACCTATTATAAGCATCTTGTAACTCATCAAAAGTAAATGAATTAAATTCATTTGAGTTAGAAGATACCTTAAATTCTTCTTGAGTGGTCATGAGGCATAGGTTGACTACTTCATCTTCATCATTGTCTTCATCCACCTCATCATTTAAATCTTGATAGCTTTCATTGATGCCTACGTCCTCATTCTTCTTCTTCTTCTTCTTGTTTTTCTTTCTTCCCTTTCTTCATCTTCCTTCACCATAATCTCATGAGTGAGAAGGGAACCAATTAGCTCGTCGAGAGTGAGAGACTTTAGGTTTCTTGCTTCGATAATGGTTGTCTTCTTTGATTGTCACTCCTTTGGAAGAGAGTAAATCATCTTCCTCACAAGCTTCTTATTTGGGATTACTTCTCCATATCCCTTGAGACCGTTGACAATCACAGAAAATCTATCCGTCATAGCTTTGATGTCTTCATCGGGTTTCATCTTGAAGTTCTCGTAGCTATG